AATATGGTGTGGTGTTAGTTGTAATCTAATCTCGTCTCAAACGAATCAATTGAGGAATCAAATCTCAAAGTCGATGAAAGTGAAACAGAGCCATATCTCTGTACTTTCGCGATAATTCGATGAGCCTTGATGGCTCGTATATGTAGTCAATAGTGCTGAATCCTTTGCGGAGCCCAGCTTGCTGGTCGTTTTTCATCTAATTCTTTTCCGATCTTGATGAGAATCACTCGTGTGAATAGTTCTTGTAGACTGTAGACAGTAAGCAGATAGGGCCATAATTTTCGATGTCCTTTCTTGCACAGCAACACGGTCTTGCTGGTCTTCCATTGCCTTAAACCTTGTCCTCCGTCAGGTACCGCATGAAGAGCTTTGCTAGAGTTCTGATAAGAGCTGATAGGAGATTATTCATGTTACGATTTGTCGGCCTGTCGGCCTGTCGGCCACGGCTACTGTACTGCTTTCATAGCCATGATAGTATGTCGAACCTTCAAAAGAAGAACTGATGGTGCAACATATCCGTTCTTGAGATGGCATGGTACAGGTGGACGTAGCTTGCAAGGGTGTCCGAGTAAAAGTCGTAGATGACTTTTTTCATCGACCGTGGGAGGAGTTGTGGAGTGCGGTTAATCTTGAAATTGACGATGTTTTGGAGGGGTGGCGTATACTTCTTCCAGCACTCGTGGAGTTTACGATCCTATGCTCTACTCTCCTTGAGATCCCATACTAAAGAATAGAGAAAGGATAGAGATGTAGATTAAAGCAGAGAGCCCGAAAAATTGAAGGAAGGAAAAATTACTCCAAATCTGAAATCCCTCTACTGACGACTTTCAATTAGCAAATTTATTTTCAAACTCGTGAATAGTGCTTGATCTCTCAGCGGGGTGTAAGAGATACGGGGGAGGGAGCAGCCAGATGGGAATGAGAGCGTTCTTGGGAGTTTTAGAGAGCTGTCAAAGAGAGACAGACGTATTTTTCCTTTTGAGCATACCTCGCGCCACTCAAACAAATCGCGACCTTCACGCGACTTGGCGAATCGCCAGATGTCTACAAATATATCGTGCGCGGCTCTCAGATGCATAGGCGCGTGACTCTTGTAAGTTGCTGCAAAAGGATGAAGTCATGCGCAAACAAAAGCAACCAATTATCCATAGTCGTTGCAGTGCCTAATCGCGCATCGACTGGAATCGCATAAGGTACGCCTTACATCTTAGTTTAAGCTAGGAAACCCTGGAACCAAATGGGTTGAACCCATGCTATTATAACTATCATCAAAGTTCTGGCTCGTTGCTCCCAATTTGCGCCACCGTAATGATACTTTCTCGTTCCCAACCCATCTTTTCAAAAGAAAGCTTTTGCTTTTTTCTTCGTATCATATTCCATCCCAACTTCACAGGACGGAGTGTCAACCTCCTGCCACGTGCTAAGAAAAATTGACTTGCATCCACATGTTTAACAGGTTTTACCAAAAGTTTGCTTAGCCTACCTACCGACTTGAGCTCAACCTGCTTTTCAATCAATAGCGACCCCATATTCAACTCAGCGATTTCACAATGAACATTAGCATCAATGAGAGTGTCATCCTATCATCATAACTTATAATAACGGGCTAAGGGTGTTTACGTGACTTTGTGTGTGTGTGTGTGTGTGTGTCCGTCTGTCTGTAACGAAATTCATAGAGCGAGTTCCAGCCAATGTCCTGAGCCCAAATTTTGCACAGCGCATGCTACCAGCGTAGAACTTCACCGTACAAAATCACGAGCAGATTTGTTGGGTGGATCCATCAGAATTTGCGAGTCAGACGGATCCACTTCGCCTCTGGCCCCCAAAATTGGGTCTGTATCAACGCTTTTTGCAAAGTCGTGGATGAGTTTGGCATGTTGATGTGCAAGACATGGACTTAAGGCGAAAAAGTGACCAAAGGTCTACTACTATACCAGAACGACGCCAAAAAGAAATGGTTGCGCAAATGGACAATCCGCCGTGGCTTTACCTGACCATTTGAGAGGATTTTTGCATAGAAATGTAGCTCACGGTAATTGTTGTCCTTATGGCGACTACCAAGCCAAAAGAAGTTTAAAAACCCAATCGAATTTGCATTTGTTCTTCTGCGAAATGTTGCATCCACGCGAAATTACCGATCTCACATGAAAAACCCTTTGAAATGAGTAGTTGTTTACATTTCATTCGTGGTAGTCGTCATTGCACAGTGAGTTTCAAAGACATCATTAGGCGAGAACAAGTAAAGCATATAAAGCAAGACCAGTGCGAGCCTCTGCGAAGCAGAGGTGACGCACTGGTAACTTATAATAACGGGCTAAGGTTGTTTACGTGTTTTTGTGTGTGTATGTGTGTATGTCTGTGTGTCTGTTTGTAACGAAATTCGTAGAGCGTGTTCCAGCCAACGTCTTGACCCAAATTTTGCACATCGCATGCGACCAACATAAGAGCCTACCGTGCAAAAGCACGATTGGTTTGGTTGGTTGGATCTTTCAGAAACTGCGCGTCAAACGGAACCACTTGGGTTCTGGCCAGCAAAATTGCTTCCGTATCACCACTTTTTGCAAAGTCGGTGATGTGCTTGGCATGCTGATGTGCAAGCCATGGACTTAAGTCCAAAAAAGTGGACAAAAGTTTATTACTTTAGGAGAACGACGCCAAAAAGAAATGGTTGCGTAAATGATTAATTTGCCGTGGTTTTACCTGAGCATTCGAGAAAAATTTTGCACAGAGATGTAGCTCACGTTGCCTACTGTCCTTATGGTAGCTACCAAGCCAGAAAGAGTCCAAAAGCCTACTTAAGTTTGCATTTGTTCTTCTGCGAAACGTTTCATCCACGCGAAATCACCGATCTCACACGAAAAAGCATTTTAAATGGGTAGTTGTTTACATTTTACTCGCGATAATCGGCACTGCGCGGTGAGTTTCATTGCCACCTTTAGTCAAGAATGAGTAAGGCATATGAAGTAAGACCAGTGCGAGCCTCTGCGAAGCAGAGGTGACGCACTGGTTTTGAATAATATAGGAGTTGTCCAGAACAAATGATTGCTTAGGGTTTATCATCTAAGCTGCGATCAGGTAGCCGCGGCGTATTTCATGCCATCTATATGCTTTCGGCAAAATTTGCACAGCGGAAATAGTGCAAGAAGGAAGATATCCACGAACAATGCTGATAGCAATGAAGATGTTCTGATGAACGTTTCCGACTGTCTTGTTTGTATGAAAAAACAAACTGACAGCTTTTGGATCATCTCAGACGCTCTCGTACCTTATCAGGAATAATTTTGTGATAAATCAAATTGAAACGTGTTAATTCTTTCCTGACACGTAGCAGGAGCATGGTTCTTATAGAATGTACGAAAAAATTTTCTAGGCTAAAACACGTATCTCATAAGAAGTGTCTGAAAGACGGAGTCGGATAACGAAAAAGTACCGAATGACGTATCTTGTACCCAGACCCGTGCTCTTCAACGATCATTGTAAACCGTAAACTACCACTAAACCCCCTCCCCGTTGAACGGGGGAGAGTCATTGCTTTGACTGACTGTACGTTTACGCGCGGTACGAGTACGATTGGCTATCCACGAGGCGTAGCAGCAAGAACGAGCAGGCAGACAGGACCAGAGGGAGAGTGTATTTCAACCACTCTTCTAGAGGGGTGGGGGGATGTCACTAAATGTCAATGACTCTAGTTGGTTACCTGAAACGTGCGATTTCGCGCGCGACCTGGTTAGCCATGAAAATGAAAAGGCGAAGCGCTACCAAATGAGATCAAGAGCATTTATATGGATCAGAAGCAGAAGTGTACAGATTGCCTCTAGAATCTTAACTGTTTAATGGAGAGACTACCTGAAATTCTAAGGAAGCACTTGAACCGAGGTAGGATAGAGGTGTGTAGATCATTACTTGAAAATAAGTAGGCTAATGGATCCGTCAGAGTTTACGGATGTTATCAGTGTTACCCGTGTTACTAGCGTTACCCGTGTCACCAGTGTTACCACTGTTACCAGTGTTAATCCTGTTACTCGTACAAGAATAAGACTGTATTGGCGATCATTTCACTACTCAACAGCAGTAAAAGCGATAACATTAGTAACATTAGCAACATGAGTAACACGGGTAACAGGAGTAACGCAGGTAACACCGGTAACAGTAGTAACAGTGGTAACAGTGGTAACACGGATAACACTGGTAATATCGGTGAACTCTGACGGGTCCCTAGGGTAGCCACAATGATAAGCAGACGGGAAAGCCTAACAGCAAAGATAAAAGGTACTCGTTCATAGAGCAATGGCAGCTGCATCCGTAGAGGAAGCTAGGACGTTTAAGTCACTGCAGGTGCACCAGAACTCCGAGATGCATTGCAGAGGATAGTCATGAGGGCAAGCTCTGAGAGGAGTGCTGTACTGAACACATTAAACAGAAATTGTTAGCAGCAATGGGCTTAGAATCTATAAGTTTAAGATTAAAGTTAGGCCAAAGCCAATGCCAAGGCGTGCAAGCAGAAAGTGAAATGCAGTTGAATGGAGATGAGAGAGGCCACCAGATGGACTATTTCCGAAGCACGGCTTTCGTAAACCCTGAAATTTTTGAGAATGCTAGGATGGATTGACAAGTTCACACAAAAGCGAAAATGTGGTATCATAATTTGGGAAATAACAATTGCTGGTAGAGCTCTTGGCTGACAAGCACTTGTTGACGGGCAGGTTTTTGTTTCAAGCGTACCTTTAGCATAAGAGAGTAAGGATTTGACAGAATAGTTAGGGAAATAGCTAATTATTAACTTGCGATTCCGCACTCGGGAAAGGCGCTAACAGCCCTAATGGTGGAGGTCAGACCAAGAATCTGCGACCTCTGCATAGCTCTGGGAACTTGGCAAGAAAGAAATTCTTAGTGCAGCGTTGAGAACAGGTCAACAAATACGCTGTACTACTGGAGAATCTGAGATCATGGTCGATAATGTGCAGCTGGTTGCCGCTTCAGCATTAGTTTGAAATAATTACCTCTGAAAAGTGAGCAATCGCGGAGACTCTGCTCAACCGAGACGTTCTAAAGTAAGTCGCTTCTGCCAAATGTTGTAAAATTGGAAACTGTATGCAAAACATAGCAGAAAGTCGAAAAAGATACTATTGGTAGGGTCAACCTGGACATTCAATGAGAAATTGCACGAAGACAGAGAAAAACGTTAACTCGTGAAGTTCGAACTTAGCAAAATGAAGTTTGAAGCCTACGACAGAAGGTCGAGAGGGAAAGCAAAAGCAAAGAATAGGATGGCACTCTTGGAACAACCCCAAATAGTTTGCGGTTGAGAAGAAGAAGTATTTTAATGGAAGCAGAAAGAAGTCATAGGCCCGCAGTAAACCCCGCGTCAGTTCGGAAGATTTTAATTAAAACCTCAAATGACGCTAGTGAGTTGAATTGACAAGCAGCCTTTCCCACATGCTGTAAAAATGCGACGACTTGACAGGTGAGCGCCAGAGCAAGTGGCTGGTCTCACCTGACTTCCATAAGAGCATTGTCGGTTTTGAGGTGATCTTACCGCAGTAGTGTCAAACGATGAGAACAGAAAGAGGTCCCGCAACTTGCTTGTGAATAACTTACGGGACAATGTAACATGATGCTACAGACCAGAGTGAGCGAAACTGCACAATTTCGTAGGCCTACAGTCAGAAAGGATCAATGGACAGCTAATTGCAGCAAAAACAGCAACATATTTCTTTTCTTTTTGCAGAGATATTTCATTAGCATCTTAATTTCTAGAAAACTGTGTTGATTAGTAGTTTATCTATCTATCAATTTTCTGAAACTCAATTCGATAGAAATCGGTGCTATACTTTGTTTTATTGCTACGTATGCTATGCGATATCTTCGATAGCGCCCACCATCGATTCGAAGTGGTAGCTATCAAAAATTGCTCCAGCATTACAGCAAAAATGCTGACACTTGCCAGCTTCAGACCAGGGCGCTGTTGCGTGCATTCTCCTAATTTTAATCATTTGGTAAGACGCCAACTGGTTTTTTTTAAACGCGCAGTTTTTGTCATGTCTACAAAACGATTCGATGGCTCGTTTGATACCGAGCTGAGACTCGATATGATCACCGTGCCGGCTTCAGCGGAGATGCGATGACGGGGGGGGAGGGAGAGGGATTACCGGGTCATAGTAAAAGGTAAAGAAAATGGAAGCTGACCAAGGAGCACATGATCACAAGTCAAAATCTACATGTAGAGGGGCATCAGAAGCATAGGCCATTCGGGAGCCACGATATCAAAGAATGTGGAATGGAGAATGTGCTAAGAGGCACTGCAAGTAATCAAGGTCGAGAAGACATGCACAGAGAAGTGGCAAGGTTCGGTAAAGAAAGGTCCTTTTGAGTTTTTGGCACCAAGGTGTGCAGCAGCACTAGAGAAAAATGGTGAAGTGTGGCGTACTACACAAGGTGGCAGTATCACTCTCAAGTCAAAAAAGCATTCGGAATTCAAAGAACTGTGTCGTGAATCATTATATGGCCCACGAATCCAAGAAGGGAGGACGAAGCTATTATAGAGACATTGTAGATATGCAAACAGCACAAAGAAGGGCAGATAACATCTGTATAATCGCCTACGTAGATATGCAAACATCACAAAGAAGGGACAGATTGCATCTGTATAATCGCCTACTTCTTCCAAAAAAAAATTATGGAAAACGTCAGAAGCGTGACTGAGTGGTGACTGATGTTGACTGATACTGAAGAATGGGCAAAAACGAATCATTTGTTCGAGTAGGCTTCTAATTGTAAGAATAGATAATGGAATAGTGATGGAACAAAAGGATGACTCGAAAATGGGTTTTGAGTGACATCAACGATGGCTGCATGTTTCTACATATCGCATACTTCTACATTTTTCCACAGGAGGGCTCACGGCGCAAAGCTCAGCTCGCTGAGGACGTCGCTTCCAAGTAGAGGCCGTTGGATGGCGCGCACCACCTTACTTTAGATGGTGAATTGTCAGCCTATCGCTAGTCAATACTTGTCACCAATCTTGAGTGCGGCTTACATATAAATACCATCACAACTTTCACGTTTTTTTGGAAGCATAAAGAGCCGAACAACCATCTGTTGCTAATACGTCATAAAGTGACTTTAACTAGAAGAATACTAAATGAAGACTCACACACTTTCGAGTGCAGCATAAGCTATACCTTCTGAATCATTGGGACTGGCGGCTGAAACTCGACCGCTCGAGACGCAGTCTGCGTCTCTCTCGCAAAAGTGCTGCCTAATCATTCCCTAGCCTGGATCAGGCCTGAAGCCACTCCTTCCAGCCGCCAATCCCGTTGAATCAAAAGGTACATAGGAATATCTGTACAAGCTTATCTCCTTCCGAGCAGGAGGCGGAGGGGCAGGATCATGGAGAAATAGTTGCTGGTATTTCACAGCATAACCTGCAGATAGTGGACCACCTGAGAAGCGCTGCTGACTACACTGCAGCGATCCTCAAACAACTAACTGGGGAGTCCAAAGTCGAAGTATGCTTTCCAAATGAAATATGCACCAATCTGTGGAGCATCAAACGCTGACTTTTATAGCCGCCATTGTTTTAGCGCCTCTAGACGCTGAGTCAGTGAAGTTTTTGGAGTGAAATGATAGAAAACTAGGAAAAAAATCAATGGTTATAATTCTTCCAGAGCTCAAATAAAGCAGGTTTGAGTACGATTGTATTAGACAAAAGGTTCATGCATACAATGCTCTAATATCCAACGGCCCATTACTCAATATTAGACAGTCCAGTTATTGAGCCGAAAAACGCTTATAACTTAACGTCTAAAGGCGTTTGGCAGAGAACAAAGGCAGTTTTGGAATCAGCGCTTGTTGCTCTTCAGAAGATGTATAAATCTTGTGGAAAGCCGTTTTGTACTTTGGGTCCTCCTTGTAAGGGTAAAGCTGCCTTAAGCATTTTACAGGGTACGCTAAAATAACGAGGCGCCTTTTTCTGTGAATGTCAAACGAGTACAATGCGGTCTCGGCGAGTAAAGCATCAACTGTTACTACGAGCTTTTATGATCGTGAAGCAAAATTGAAATGAATATGTCAGCTTTTACTCCGGAAAATTTGAAGTATCTCATGCTGAAATGTACTTCGTGAAATTACAACTTTACAAGGTTTTACAATAGTTAATTGAAAGCTTTTCTCTTGGCCCCAGAAATGAGCTGTAAAATTGGGCAACCTCTTACCTTTGACCTTGAACTTGTAAGCTAGTTCAGAAGTATCTGATTAAATTTATGCCAGGGTTCGGAAGTCTGCTGCATATTCAACAACTAATTTGTGGTATTATGACGTGCTACAACCAAGCGTCCAACTTCTTTGATAAGATATTGCAACCGTTCTTTCAGAAACTTTAAAAATTCCTCACCTATCTTGGCGCCTGCCGATGTGGACAAAATAAATTCCTCTATATCAAGGATATTTATTTTGAACCCTGTTCATTCTATTTAGATGTAGACATTGAGGCTGGATAATTGGGATCAAAATGCAGGCCGAGTACAATGAACATTAAGTGAAACAATACCGGATAATAAGATGTTAAATAAATCATCACAATATCAAGACTAAAGATGTAAGTTACATGTATGTGCTTGTTTTCTCTGCATCCAAGCAACATGCAGTTCCTAGAGGTGGACAGCTTTCGATAATCCTACCAACATGGCACCGGTCAAGGTTATGCTCATGGCAATCGCTAAGATTGTGAGGTTCCGTCGACCCTAAATAGAGATTTTTTGCTTATTGTGTTTTTCAAACAAGAATGAAGTGCGGCTATAAATAAACAAGATCACCCTATTTTCAGGTGTATAAGCCGCACCCTTTTTGCTCTAAGGCTCCCGCCAGAGTGCCGAAGTTATGCCAGCGCTACGCCAGCATTTCGATCGATACACGTGTATTTCGTTGGGGCGGGGCTAGCTGACGTCCCCAACGAAATACACGTGTATCGATCGAAATGCTGGCGTAGCGCTGGCATAACTTCGGCACTCTGGCGGGAGCCTAAACGCGAGCAGACCCCTGCGGGCCGCCGCGCATATGTCTCGCGAAGCTGTTGTCTTATCGCATATTGCTCTCACTTAACGCGCTCCATGATGACAGTCAGTCTTTTGGCGTGTTAGCTATTAGAGCGAAAAGGATGCGGCTTATACACCTGAAAATAGGGTACAACTTGATTATTCAATGAACAAGAAAGGAAGTATCCTTTACTTTTACTGCAAGGGCGAAGAGTAATAGATAGCTTTGGATTGTTTTTTTTATGAGCTTGTCCCCCAATATAGCTTGCCGTTCCGAGTGCAGTGGCTGTCGGACAACGATTTGCAGCCAATTGTATAGTCCGAAGGGGTCTATAAGGGTGTTCAACGTTTGCGGCTGCGGTCCCTCCAAATTTTTTTCATTTAAGACTAAAACCCGCACTTCGGCAACTCAAAGTTCCGGGGGTAAAACGAACTATGCCCAGAGCACAGTTTGGATTGGAAAAAACGACGGTTGAGAACGACTCGCTATGATAACTGCTTCATGCTTTCGCCAGAACCTCTGAATCTCTCTCGAGATTGCAGAGCACATTATGTATCTTTATACCAGTAACACTTTTGTTAGGATGGAATCAGTGCGAGAACTTTTATACCAAATTCTTCTGCTCATGAACGCCCGTGAAGAAGTCCGCCATTCCCACCAAAAACCCAAAAACGTTTTTACCCGCTGAAGTCTTCGCCACGCTTAAGATGTACCGATCAGACTGTGAGCTAATTTCCCTTTGCACAATCAGGCATCATTACTTCAAAATAGAAAAGACTGGTGCTCTACTCATGTTTTTGTTTACATAAATTCTTCACCAAAAAAATTGCAATGGACCTGCATTTTTCATTTTTTTTCTCATGTATAACTATATCTGACATAGATCATTATGAGTGAAAGAGATGATAGGTGAGACAAAAATCGGTGTGCTGACAGAGTTAACTTAGCAGACTAAATGTCTCGAAAATATGGTTTGCAACTTTTGTTGATGAGCAAAAGTGAGAAGTGCTTTAGAAACTTTTCCAGTGAGTCGCTTTGTCTGAATAGTGCAAGGATACTGCAGGATTTGATTCCATTGAACTAATATTAAGATACAAAGATCCTGCAGTCGTAAATCCCTCTCTATTTTTCAATTATGCCCTTTAAACCAGACTATGGCTGGTTGTTACACCATAATTACCTAAACAACATTTCTTCCAATCATAAACGATACCGCGTGGATAAAGATTTTGAACTCTATGCAAGGATCGACAGTTGCACTTGCCAATACCTATGATTTCCCTGATAACCTAAATTTTGCCAAACTCAAATATATAAACGAACGCCGAGTTCAACTCGAAAACAGAAATCGCCGTAGATGGAAGTATTTTTGGATACGAAAGGGGTTCACTATTGCAGACGTTATGAGGTGTTATATCAAATAGCTCAAAAGTTCCTCCCGTTTTTCAAAGTGTCATACACACAGAATAACAGGAAACCGATTCGACGCGATCGACGCAGCTTTCCTTTTAGCTTCAAGCAATATTCTATGTGAAGCAATTAATACTGTGATCATTAGAGTAGACTTCGAATTGACCAGTGTTTACAGTGTCCAACTTTAATATATTTTCAGAATTTTATTCTACACCCGTGGAGACCTTTGATGAAGATGGATAGAGTAAACGAACCGCAATTTATGCTTCTTTAGGCACCTGTAGCTGGAACTTCAAAAATTTCAAAATTTTTTTTACTATGCAGCTATTAAATCGCCCCTGATCATTTCAAGTGGAAAGGGAGTCCGACAAGCGACACAATCTTGCTGAAGCTGTTCGCCGCCGCATTGCAGTAGCGATGAAAGTATGGACTGGGACGAGATAGGCATACGAGTTGATGGGAGATTTCCGACGTTCTCTTCTCGAGCAGTATCACTGAAGCAGAGACGATGCTCAAGGAACTAAACGAAGTAGGAAAAAGATCGGATTGTGAAATTCGGAAGAAGTTTCAGTTTATGAAGAACCCTTTTGCGAAGGTGCAGAAATAAAATTGGAAGGCACTCTTATTATAGAGACTTCTTCCGTGTATCTCGGATTTTGACGAACATGGAGAACGACTTGAGGAGAACTTAACAGGAGGAAGAAAAGCAGCCTGACCCGCCTTCGGGCCTCTGAAGGAAACTGCCGACCTGACGGAAACGAAGCTTCGTGCACCTGTTCGACTCAACCGTTCTCCCGGCGCTCTGTTAGGCCTCGTACAGAGTTCACGCGACTTCACTGTAACGATTCATCGCGACAAGACAAGTGTTACGAGTTCATTGCATGTCGATCTTCTTGTATTTTTGTTATGATAGTTAGTCACGATTAGTCGTGTTGGAAAACTATCACAACCGAATTGTAAGAAGATCGATATGCATTGATGTTGTTGCAGTTGTCTGGTCACGATGAATCGCGATGATGAAATCGCGTGAACTCTGTCCGACCCTTACGCAGCTGGGACTTGGGCCGACACCGTAGCTACGTCGAAAGCTCTAAGGGCTACCCACAGGGCGCTAGAGCGCAGTCTTCAGAAGATGATCCGATGGAAACAACATCTTGCGGAATCCACAGTACCGATATGAGTAAAATGTCCGGTATCTCCGTTATCCGGACCCATTTTTTCAGTTCTCATGAGATACGCGCTTCAGCCTAGAAGTAATTAATAGTTTCTGTAAGAACTATCTCCCTGCCACGTTTGCGGAAGAAATAAACACGTTTGGGTTAGGTTTGACAGGTTTTTTCAAAAACATTTCGGGTCAGGTCAAGGGCATTTGAGACGTTAAAAACTGCTTAATTGTTTTATATGAAAAGCAAGAAAATGCAGACGTTTATTAGTATAACCTTGACGCTTTTAGCAATGATTAAAAAATATTTTCCTCTTCAAACCGTTTACACAACAGGAATCCACCAAGGAAGGAATACAAATATGGCCCAATCTACCTCGTAGCCGCTTATCTCGCCATTTAGATAACAGAACACTGGCATATCTCTATGTTCTGTGTAAATTTGATATTTTTTTTAAACAGGGCGACGTTTCTGATATTGTGAATCAACAACAGAGTCATTATTGACTGGAACACAAATTGAACTCGCGCTGTTGGGTGGGCGATACAAATTCTTGGTAAGGCAGGCGCTATACTCTTCGAGGAGTATAGCATGGCGACGATCGATATGCATCAAAAACGTGTAAAACCAGCGATTTTTGTCGCCGATATTGGCGATCGTCCGTCGTAACGACTGGCGATCACCAATTGCCAAACAAGCTACCACACGTCAAATCGACACGTATCAAACGTGTAGTCGCCGATATTGCTCAGACAATCGACGGGACCCCTCCGCCGGACCCTCGGAAACTGCCAGAGTCGCGCCGGACCCAGTTGACCAATGAGAGAAGGGCAAATGGGCGGTCCATCGCGGTGGCATCACTGGCAGGCAAATGGGAGGCTTCTCCGGCCCTGCTGCAAAGGTCCGCCATTTCTCCGGCGCGACTCTGCCAGATTTGACGGACTCCGCGCCGCAGAAATCTGCGCGGCGCGTGTCCGCCAAATTTGGAAGAGCCGCGCCTGAGAAAATGGGAGGGGTCCGGAGCAGAAATGGGAGGCCTCCGGAGCAGAAAATGGGAGGTATCCGGAGCAGAAAATGGGAGGTATCCGGAGCAGAAGATGGGAGGTATCCGCCGGAGAAATGGGAGGTATCCGCCGGACAAATGGGAGGGCTCCGCCGGACAAATGGGAGGGCTCCGCCGGACAAATGGGAGACCCACCGCTGGGGATATGCCGCGACCCTGCCATTTCTCCGGCGGAGGGGTCCTATCCGCTGTCTGAGTGGCGACATTTAATGTGTAGTCGCCAGTGTTGGCGACTACACATTAAACGTGTGTCGACTGGACGTGTGGTAATTTGTTAGCGATCGATACGCATAGAAGACACAGTCGCCAGTATTGGCGACTGGCGATCGCCCGTCGCCATGCTATACTCCTCGAGGAGTATAGAGCCTGCCTAAATCTTGTTAAACATCTAGAAAACATGTCATTTTTATTTCATCACATGAGAGGAGGTTGGCAATCATCCCTGAGAAGTTCGGATCAAGTATGGCACAAGAAAAGGAGGAATATCCTTTATTGAAAAAATGAGTGAGACAGGAAGTCGGAATGCCCGGTCTTACTGACCCAGCTCAGTACGTTGCTAAAGCGAAGCATCGATGCTTCGGTCATCATGAGAAGAACAGACGACAGATGAACACTGAGAACATTTGAGTGAATTCCTCGCAAAGTAAAACGTTCCCGAGGAAGTCCGCGACGATAGGACAGAGATGTCTGTGGAACAGATGGATCAGCTAAGATCAGCTGGGTATGATTTTTGCACCTGGAACTCATGGACGCAGCCATTGACGATAACCAAGAAAATCGCGAATGTCTGAACTTCTGAGCTGATCCCGCGCGTTACGTGAAGACGGGTCAAACAATTGAGGACCGCGGAGTCAAAGTGACCGACTATTACAAAAAGCATACCATTACAAAGAGTGCTTCTCATATCTGTCGAACAATTTTGGGATAGAAGTTATGGACGTTTTTATAACCGAAATCTGCATGATTTTGAGCGACTACAAATTACGGAAATCTTCAAATTGATTCTTGCGCTACAAGATAACATTCTGAATAGCATCGCACTGAGCGTAGATAAGATATTCCAAGTAGGTTTGAGTCCAAAATGCTTATAAAAAAATGAAAAAATGAAATTCTGATTTCAGTAAACTGTGTGTTCGTGCAACGCGAATTTGCAGAATGAAGACTTTCGCAAAAGTTATCTTGGAAGATGATGAAAAGCAGCTACAGATGCCTAAACAGTGCGCTATACCGCACTATTCAACTGTTAGGTTCTTTCATAAGTCTAGCATGCAATTTTTGGAAATATGCCAAGGGACGTTGTAATAATCTTGATGACCACAAGAGTAACCTCTTCAGGAAAATGAGCACTGAAAAGAAGAAGAAAAGCTGCATTTTATAGATATAATTTCCTATTTTTCTTATAATGAGCTAGAAAGTGAATTTTTGGACCGATCAATTAATCAATGATGTGCTCACCTTAATTTCTCGGAAATATAGTATACTCCATGCCGAGGCAATGCAACCCGGAAGCATTGTAATTATAGGGAAAGTAACGGCTTGAGAGAGATGTTGATTGGCGATGAAGAATGAGGTTTGAGCAATGGCCCAAAGCAGTCCGGATAAAAATGCCGGAAGAAATATGGGTTGCGGGATGATTGGCTGATTCCGCCTGAAATGCAGAATCAACTTTTTACGCAGCCAAACGAAGAAAAATGACAACTCAGGCATACGGTTGAGTTACCTTTAAGAAAAAAGTGTCCTGCAGTATCTGGGAAGCTTTAAGCTTTTTGTTCGAGTTCTTGTTGTAAACAGGCATTACAGGCTGGCAATTTTTTCCAGCTAATCATGTTTTTGGTTTCCAATGTGCCGAACAGTGACTGTGCTTTGCTTGCAAGTTTTCAGATTGTTATTTTAGAAGTGAGAAAATTACGAAATGGGCACTACCTGACTCGTCAACCATTTTTATGATTTGAATTTGGTAGAGTCAAAAGAATGATTCGGTAAGTTTTGAAAATCCAACGATGCCCAAAGAAGGCATTATATCGCACTCTTTTCTCATTGAACACTCTTTTTATCGCAGGCTGTCCATGAATCTCGTGAAGATTTGAAAATATGCCAGAGTTGGGCACGGTGAAATTTATGGAACCGAAAATTTGGCGACTATTTCAGTGACCACAAGAATATGACTTGGTTAGATAGGTTAGTGGTAAAAATAGGCGACCACATCCATAAGTTTGCTTTTGAGAAAGCAACTTTTCGACAATTATCGAAAGCCAAATTACAGTTTAGAGTTACAAGTCCAAAACTCTCAAAAATGTTGAAAATTGCGAAATTGAGCGTCGTCGTAGGCGATGCCTCTATGTGATATACACTCACTTAATCATAGCATATCCAATAAACAACGTCGTCGCAGTGAGAAAAATTCCAAAATAATGAGAGAAGACATAAGACAGGCTGTCCATTGGATACTCAGGGAATGTTTTCGGATTGTCCATCATATAGATCACCGGCACAAATGTCATTCCATAGAACACACCAGCTATTAGCGACATGGCGATGCCACTTCAATGAAAAGAATTTTTTTTGGAGAACTAGCTGACGTTGTCGGTACTCACATTATTCTCTGCTTTCCGTCGTGCAACGATTCTTTCTCATTTTTGGCTTTACTCACTTCTTCTTCTACTTCTTTCTCGGGTTCATTGAGCGGCTCCTTCTCTTCCGATTCCTAAATAAATACAGCAGAATGTTCCAAAAATAAAAAAAAATTATGGTCCGAAGATTCGTTCGCACTTTAAAACATCACAATTTCTTTTTACTTTGATGGATTTCTTGAGATACTTATATTTCGAAGCAGAAGTCATGCGCTCTACAGTAGTACCTTCGACTTTATTTAGAATGAGCAAGCCCGAGGGTTAGAACCAAATGAAGAAAATTGTTCGAGATTGGCTCAAATATTGTAGCTAAAATATCAGGTCGTTCCATAAGTCGTCCGTTCTGAATTTCGACCGCAATAAGTCATACATTTCTCATATGCATAGGTTGCAAAGTATTATTCAATAGAGCAAAGCAAGCTCTATAAAATGGCAGTTCTGAACCAGCTCTGATCCTTCTCGAAATTCAGGGCGAAAGCTAAAAAGAATAAAGTGCCCGAAAAATCAGAAGGAAGTCGTAAATCTATTCAAAAAGTCCCATAAAAATTCTAGCTTGCTCACGTAGACTAAATTAAGACATTCGTATATGCCACTGCCGTATTTGTTCCTCGGTTATAAATCAAAAAAGCGAAGGTTTTCATGCTTTTGCTAAATTGATACTATGATGTCCCTACATAAGTAATTTTATACTACTAACCTGTGAAAATACAAACACAAACTTTACAGCTCACCACAAGTTTTAATTTTTTGAGAAATATATTTTAGCCTAGTCACCTGAGTAAAGGAAGCTATATTCAATAGTTTCCGAAAGCTAGAGCTTGTGAAGAACTGGAAATTTTGTTTGTACTTCTACAGGCAATTATATACAAATACTTATGTAGGAACACCATAGCATCACTTTGACGAAAGCATAAAAATCTTCGTCTTCTTAATTTCTAACCGAGGAAAAAATACGGCAATGCGTATTTAAATGTCTCGAGAAACAGTATTGACGTGAGCAAGTTGAAATTTTTGAGAATTTTTTTTCTGGATGGGGTTGCAATGTTTCCTCTATTTTTCGGGCAGTTGATTCTTGTTAGTTTTCAATTTAAAACTCGACATTGACCAGAGCTGGTTAAAAACCAAGACCAACCAAAACCAAATCATCTTGTAGAGCATGTTTTGCTCTTTCGAAAGGTGCTTTGCAACCTAATCAGAAAGAGAAGTGTATAACATAATACGGTCGAAATTCAACCGGACGGAGCTTATGGGGCAACCTTATATAAAATTTAAGCCTATGGTTCGAAATAGCTTTGCATAAAAATTATCTGCTTCAATTTTAGTTTCATTGTGATCTTTTCGTATTCTAATCTTGCATAAAAATTGCAATTCTGAGTATATTTTACATTCCTTACTTTCGCATTCTCTCATAATAACTCACAGCAAAAGTACCATTATGATGCGCACAATTTTCGTTTATAAACAAAAATACTTCCAAGAAAATCCAAGTCCAAAGGATTCATGATTTCTAAGGGCACGACGAATTTTCGGACCATCATAATGAATCGCTACAGACTTACAACTTCTTCGACACGAACTAAGTCAAGATTATGCTTCTCTTTTTCGTTCTTGTCTTCGTCTGTAGAACTGCCCTTTACTTGTGAGAATAGAATTCCTCTGAGATAAGATCTTCCACTTTATCATATTGCTATTGAGAGCTAACTGACCTTACCCAATGATTACAAGGACAAGTCCACCATAATTCAGAATGTCGCTTGCTGGTGGGTTTGGCTTCATGCCAAAAAGACCAAATCTATAAAAGGCTAGTTGAAAGAGACTGTGTGCTACTAGCATCGAATGCTCAGAAACCTTCCTCCGGCCCATCCTGTCAAGCAGTTGGTGGTATTCCAAATCAGAATTCCAAGTGCCATTCCTAATCTAGAAATTATAGGAATAGCAGTAGCGTTACCTGGAACCAAATCTTGTAATATTCTAGACTAAAATGTGAAGCGCACATGGTGAAAGTAGTTTTAGTTACCAATTGTCCATAGCATCCCGCCAAGCATAGCCAAAGGGTAGAAGCCAGGGAAGCCTTGAATACAAAAGACAAGGAAACCAATGAAGAGAATTGCGGCCGACATCACCCACTGTGCAAACATTCCTGCAATATAACATCATCATATCCACTATTTCGTTGTTCTTTTTTCAAAATTCCAAGGCTTACCATCTGCTGCGTTATATTTCCTGATCGGTACGAACATCGAACCGAAAAACACCGATGAAACGCCGCATGCTGCGAGCCCTACTCCAATGCTCATCTGAAGCTTTTTTGAAAAGAATTTTTAAGTCTTTGCTCGAACGCAAGAAAATAATTACGAACTATGCACGAGAGAAACAATTCAACTTATTTTACTGGTCTTAAATTTTGAAAAAAAATCAGCTCAGTTCAATGAAGTGGTGCATGTAGAGCCCCACACTTGCTGAACATTTTTTGTAAAGACTCCATTATTTTTCCTTTGCCTTCCTGTATATAAGAGGTGGCCAATGGCGTCGGATGCATTTCCATGTAATTATTAAGTTGTCCCCAAAGTTTTGTCGTTACGTTAAAATGACTTAAAAAACCAAGCACAACAAAGGTTCAAGAACATTGAACGTTCATTAGGTTTCAGGTTTTTGTTTCCTTTCTGAAATGTTTTAAATACTAATGACTGTCAAATTTATCAGTCATTTCTATCACAAAATTCAACTAATACAAAAAAATTGGCTTCAAAATTCCGATATAGATTGGGTAAGATGCAAATGAAGCAAACCTAGGACTCTACGGTCGTGATATTTAGATTCTTTTAATCTGCTGTTTGGGACTTCGAAAACTATAATTTCAGGTATCTTTTTGGTTAAGTCCTGAAACACGCATCTGCAGCAAAAACATAAAAGCTTTCGACGTTTCTGTGAGTTGAAGTTGATTGCCTTTAGGTATCATTTGTGAGTAATTCAGTTTAAGCTTCGAAGAATTTTTTGGAATTTTCGTTAACCCTATGCCTAAACGTGCTTAAAAAGCCGAGACTTTTCCCAAATGAACAGTTAACAGACATAAGACCTTTGCTAATCTGAGATGGGTGTACTGTAGCTAAAGGTGCACTCTACACAACGGTTACCAGCGCTTTTTTAAAATAAAGATAAACTTTCTTCAAGATTTAGAGGAATTTGGAGTCACATTCAAGTCGCTCAAATACCCATGGCGATAGGGCCACAAAGACTGCATAGATCAGAGGGTAATGAAGCTATCAAAACGCGATTAACTAAGTTCTTTGTCGATTGATGCTTTGCGAATTTTGATAACCGATCAAGTAAACTGCCAAAACTTTTTCGGGACGACCTAACACTTTGTACATCTTCTAAACGTGTTTTCAAAAAATTTAGCTTAACTTGACCAGATAGTAAGGAAGTCTCTCAAGTAACATTAATCACTTTGAAGTTAGGATTATAGAATAGCGATGCCGGGCCTCGATTTTAAAAAAGGTTCTAAATTGTCTCAAAAATGAGGGGTTTCCTGAATGTATTCACAACAAGAGATGTTTAGGTCCTGGAGAAAAAATGTTTCATGCAACAAATGGTAGTTCTTAGAAAGTGTTAGAGTTGAGAGTTCCTACATACATTATGAAATATTTGAGCACATGAATACAAGCATGCGGGCTAGTCAGCTAGGATAACTTATAGACCACATTTGTAATTAGAATATAGGAGAGACTTCGGAAGTAAGCGAAAAAAATTGATTTCTCAGACTGCGAATGCTTACCCTGCAATTAGGGAAATTCACAAACAACGCCAAGATGAAAGGTACTCACTGCCATATGCAAAAAGGTAAATTTTTTGGAAGTACTAATTGCTCAAGATGATTGCGCACTCCCTTGTACTTATATGCTCGTCAATTGGGTTAAAATGGACCCTGATTATGCGTTAAAATGACACCTTTGCTAAACAATTAGATTGTTTGAAGTGTTAGTTGCAATATTTATCGAAATTTATGAGCCAAAGCAAGTGCTCAAGTTCGCTACTAATCGCACTGAAAACACATACCCCCCTTCTCCAGCCCACCATTTGTGCTAGCAATGACCGTCTCGAGTGAACATATTACTAAAAATGCTACTCTCCTCCTAATCACCCAATGAGGGAAGGAGGGTTAGTGGAAACCCTTTCGGATGTGACACATTCCATCTTAAGGGCCGGGCACACTTCACGCGATTTCAGACGCGACGCGATTTGGCATATTCCAACTGTCCATAACTCACTGTAAGCACATTTTATATGTACAGAAGATAGGGCATTTTATCAATCCGCGTAAGTTATACACACTATGCATGTGCAGCTTGGTAGTGTTGGATCTGAAGACTTCTGGCAAATTGCCAAATCGCGTCGCGACTGAAATCGCGTGAGCTATGCCCGGCTCTTCAGGCCTCGAACAGAGTTCACGCGATTTGATCGTCGCGATTCAATCGCTACAGACAAATGTTACGAATTCATTGCATGCCGATCTTCTTGTACTTCGGTTGTGATAGTTAGTCACCATTAGTCGTGTTGGAAAACTACCACAACCGAAATGCAAGAAGATCGGTGTGAACTTGTAACATTTGCCTGTAGCGATTGACTCGCGACGATCAAATCGCGTGACTCTGTCCGAGGTCTTAATAAGCATAAAACGCTGATTCTTAGTCTATCTTCCTTATCTGCAGAGCGTTTAAAGGCAGTGGCTCGGCAATTCTCAACATAGCCAAATTTTCGCTTATCTGGGGGTATCCAATACGCTGATCCCGAAAGTCCACGTTTGAGAGCTTGAAAATGCCGAAAACGAGCGTTTTTCAATGCCCTTCCCTTTGGAATTGGACGAGTGGAGCAAGGCTGATGCGACGAATCCTTGCAGGACCCAATGATTATAGCATTGCGGCGGGCAGCCTCCAATGGTGAGAAGGAAATTGCTAACTCGTCCAGACGCGTGTAAGATTGGCCTGCGAGTGTAAGTTGAGAGCAATTTTCTCGGCAGGGAAGGCATGCTGTGCAACCGGGATTGCACTGTTTTCATACTTGGGCGACAAGAAGCCTACCGCGTTAAAATTTTGAGTTGTTGAGTTTTGCCGAACCACTGCCTTTAAGGACGAGGATTTCTGAGCGTTTGCATAACAAGTAAAAAATTGTAATTCAAATTATAAAAATGTAAATAAAAAATTAATTATGCATCTAAAATAAAAGCGGTTGCTAAAATCTTCCTAGCGCTTAAATGAGGCAGCGGATATAGGTTATCTAAAACCGTTAGCTGCATATGCTTTTAGCTTTCACTGACCCAAATGTGCCTTATGAAAAATTTCTGTGTACTTTCTCTTGATCGCAGATCCAATTTTTATGCTCCAGTACTCGCAACTCCTTGTGCATAAACGTTCTGCACATAAAGTAGGCAGATTTAGAAAAGTGTTCAATGCCCTTCAAGATGGGATACATCTTATTCTAAAACTTCGTCACTTCGTCTAACCATATTTTCCGTGTAAGCATGCACGAGTTGCTTATCAGTGATTTACCAAAAACACGCTCAAGATATTGTCCAGGTCAACTGGGGGATAATGGATTTTGACACAGTGCGGGAGCACGCCCCTGACTAATGCAACTATTCAAGTCCGATCGAAAAATGTGGATTCTGAAGCGAGAAAGTCGCTCCGGAAAAAAAAGGGCGATCCGCTAATCCCTCCTCCTTGACGAGTTCTGACGTGGTTAACACGTGAGATTTACAGCATTCGCCACGTCAAAACTTGTCAAGGCGCGGAATTAGTGGACTGCCATTTTATTAGGTTGTCCCATAAGTCTTTTCATTTTTGAATTTTCGCTGTAATAAGTCACACACTTCTTACTCTTAATAGACATCAGGATACCATTCGAAAGAGCAGAGCAAACTCTATAAGATGGCGCTTACGCTTTCGCACAAGCTTTGGTCCATCTCGAGTTTCAAACTAAAATCTAAAAAGTTTCGGATGGCCAAAAAACCGAAATTTTTTTATATCTTCGTTCAAAAAAATCCTACAAACCTCAAACTTGCTCACGTATAAATATTTCACATCAGACATTCATATGTGCTGTTGCTGCATTTTTTTATCAGCTAGAAATCAAGAAACCGAAAATTTTCATGTTTTTACAAAAGTGATGCTGTGCTGTTCTTACACAAGCAATTGCATAGTAGAAGCCCTTAGAAGTACTGCAGTAGATTTTTGGCTCTCTATATGCTCTAGTTCACGAGAAATATCAAATTTAGCTTTCTTCACTTGGGTTTTTCACGCTTAAATCAACATTTCTCGGAAACCAGAGCTTATATAAAGCTAAAAAATTACAGTTGTACCTCTAAGGGCTTGTAGTATACAACTGTCAGTGTAAGAACAGTACAGCATCACTTTGGTAAAAACATGAAAATTTTCGGTTTCTTGATTTCTAGCTGATAAAAAAATGCAGCAACAGCACACATGAATGTCTGATGTGAAATATTTATACGTGAGCAAGTTTGATTTTTGTAGGATTTTTTTGAACGAAGATATAAAAAAATTTCGGTTTTTTGGCCATCCGAAACTTTTTAGATTTTGGTTTGAAACTCGAGATGGACCAAAGCTTGTGCGAAAGCGTAAGCGCCATCTTATAGAGTTTGCTTTGCTCTATCGAATGGTATCCTGATGTCTATTAAGAGTAAGAAGTGTGTGACTTATTACAGCGAAAATTCAAAAATGAAAAGACTTATGGGACAACCTAATATTTGGAGCAATTTCCTCGCTTCAGAATCCATATTTTTCGATCGGATCTGATCTTGAAAAACTTTTAGCACACATAGTATACTAATCTATCTAATTTTCGACTAGTGTAAGCATGGAAAATGCCATAAAAGTTGCCGTATGTCCACTTAACCACCATGTTGGCATTTGAGTTTTGCACCAAAACTCTTTGAAAAAAATGTATATATACTCTGGTGTAGAATATACGCAGTATCTTGTTCTTCACTTTAGGAACTTTATTCTTAACGATCTAGAATTTTGGAAAAAATTTCGAAAGTTCCAACTTTTCATAAGAACAAACGATTATCGCGAATTTATTCTGGTTAAAAAGAGTAGGTTACAAATCCAGACCAAAAGTAAACTCAATATCGAACCTTTCGAATTTCAAGCACCGAAGTTTATGAAAAATACAGTTCGAGTGTGTCTTCATCAGTTTTACGTAGCGATATGATAACGAAAATTACATGGTTCCTGCGCAAGGATGACTCGCAAATTCCTGAAGCGTTCCAAAAACTTTTGCTTTGAACAATACAAAAAACTACTTACAACTATACAAAAAAGCTCGGTTTACTTTCTATAACTTACATCATGTCAAACGCTTTACTAAATCAGGAACGAATTCAATTATTTCAATGAAAGACTCACTAGCTTGAAATATCTGATAAAATCTGATGATAGGAAAGATGCTGTAAACTCGTCGAGAAAACTTTTTGCTATATCAGACCTTCTTCACGATAGTTATGCACAGAATGTAGTCAGCTTCTAGAAGCTCTTGGATTTTGGTTGGGCTCCATAGTTCATCACGAGCGCAGTGACAAAGTACAGTAAAACCTATATATCAAAGGCAATCAGGAGAGAGTTTTTTGTGGGGAGAGGGGAGAGGCGAGGAAGTGCAACAGATATTTTCTAAATGAAGGCTAACCTTTTGGAAAATTTTGAAATACCTTCCAAATGTTTGCAGCGCTAGCTCATAGCAATGGAACAACTTTTACAAACATCACAAATCATCTTAAAAAAATAAAACGTGAAAATTGTACATTCTATAGATGAACAGCACCGACAGCGATAAAAAGGTCATCAAAACGTCTCGTCACCTGCTGTCAGGAGATTTACAGCTCATAAGGGTTCATTGCTTGAAGTACTTGGTGGAAGGAGGTGCACATGATTTTCGAGGGTTTACAGGTTGCCAGGGTTAGGAAACCCCGTAACTTCTTTGTGTGGCAATCAAAACAACAAGAAGAGTATCATTAAAATCGTCTCTCTTTCGCTTTTAGAAAATGAGCTTTGAGGCCGCTGGCCTGAGACATTCATATCAAGAGCAATGTCGCTTTGTTTTTCTTCCTTTTTCCCAAAGTTGGACGATTGGACGTCTCACACCGATCATTCGAGAATCAGTGGATCTATTGGATGAATAGAAAGTCTTGAGCCGAATGAAAATGAAAGAAAAGATCGTTTGAATGATACCAAATTCCCATTATAATCGTTTCAGTTGCATATGAGAATTTCAAAATTTTGTTTTGAACGTAATTTGTGGGTTGGTACCTTCTTATACAGAAAGGCTGCTAATGAGGTGAGAAATGCGTTTCTTTGCAAATTTTCTATAAAAAAGATTATAAATTGCATTTTTCAGCAGAAACGGTCGCGATACTCCAAGTAGGACGCAAACTAAATTCATGTACACCTTTCCAACTGCAGAAATGATGTTTCGGAATTCATTTCTTTTCTGCTTTGGCGTTTGTGATAAACATATTACAAGTAACTAATCTCCTTGTACTGTACATAGATTTTCTTTGGTTTTGGGGCCTTACAGGGTAAAAGCTTGGTAGATGGTAAAGTGAGATCAAAGTCATTTATCAATTCAAAAGATACACACATCATTAGAACTGCTGTAAATTACCCTAATTTCCGAAGTATAAGGCTCACCTATGTATAGGCGCACCTGCCGCGCGAACGTTAACGCGAAAGTTGCGCCCTAAGTTTGGCTTAAATTAAGCTATACTTTAACGGTCTACTTATCTATACTTTACCTGCAGTTTGCTAAATGGGCGCTTCATAGTCAGGATGTCAGTGCTTTCAAGTTTCGGAAAAATTCAGCGACATTACTATGTAGACGTAAACGAACTCAGTGACAGATATTGTGTAAGCTTTAGATGATAACAGTACGGGTGTTTTAGAGTAAAAATTTTGTTTAGCCGAATATGATGAATTGATGATAGAGCAGACTGATTTTTCTGAAAACTCATGTTCACAAAAGGTTTAACAGAGGACGAATGCATAAAACAGTTACGAAAAGTTGGTGCCGCTACTTTTGCGGCATCGCACAT